GGGAGCTGCGCCGCGCGCCCTGACGCCGCTTCCGGCAGCGCGCGCCCCGCCCGCCACAGAGCGGGCCGCGCCCCGAGCGGATGACGTCACCACAGCTGGTGCCAGGGGAGGGAGGGGCCTGAACCTACCACGCCCCCCTTTGTTTTGGTGGCTGGGGAGGCGGAGCTAGAGCCGCTACGTCACTGCTGCCGAACCCGCCCCGCGGCCCCAAGGGAGCTGCCCTGGCGCATGCGCGCAGGCGAGCGCTCGCGCCGCTGGGAGGGCGGGGCGGGGCCGCGGGCTGCGCAGGCGCCGTCGCCCTCGTGCCCCCGCCCAGTGCGGTTTATCCTTCGGTTCATCTCGCGGCTTATGCTGCTGTCCCGTTTCCTGCTTGCTCTCCCTCATCCGCGCGCCGCGGCTCCGCTGAGGAAACGCCCGAGGGCTCCATGAGCGGCTCTCAGAAGGGCTTTACCGGCGCGTCGGGACCTGCGCGCGCGGCGGCGGCGCAGCGAGGGATCCTTCCCAGGGTGGTGCTCCTTCCCCCCGTGCAAAACATAAAGGTTGCGTAACTGACACGAGAGCCCCCATTTCCGTGCCCTAAGGAACTGACGGGGTACTCTGGGTTGCTGCTTAGTAACGCCTCAAATTCAGCAAAAAGCTGCTAAACAGCTGGAAGTGGCTGTCATCATAACGTACGCACTTAAAGATTAGAAGCAGTGATCAAATGGTTTTGTGGGGTGTTTGGTTTGTGGTAAGCAGGATGTGCAGAGGGTTAGAGTGCTCGTGCCCCGCCACGGTGCGCGCCGCCTGGCTGGCTGCCCTGAGCTGCCCTGCTTGTGGCACGGCCTCCCAGACACCTCAGAAATGCAAAAAAGAAAAACACCACAAAACCCAAACCAGCAAGAAGGCTGTATACTGTGCTGGGCTCCAAAGCCAGGAGGAGGAACTGCCCTTTGCCGGCTGGCTGCAGCCCCTGCCATGCAAAGCACCCGACAGAGGTGCTTTCCAGCAGCGCTCAAGGGCTGTCCCTGTCCCCACACGAGCCAGGTCCCGCACAGGGCAGCTGCCCGCACACACACGCACACACGCGCGCGATCCTCATGCAGGGACACAACAGGAGGGTTCCTAAAGGGGGCCAGTCTGAAGTGGGGCCTGCCGATCGCCCCCAAGGGAGGTGTCCAGCGGCTGCCCCTCCCTCAGGGCCTGGCAGCAGCAAAGGGAAGCAGCGACCACAGCGCAGCAGATGAAGGGAGGTTGCCCTTCGTGGTGCTCCCCTTCCCACCTAGCGCCGCCACGCATGGGCAACCCCGACTGACAGGCAGGCCTGTGGGTAGCACTCCTGTTTCTTCACACCCCTTCTTTTAATGTTTCTCCAGATTTTCCCTGTTACTTTTCCCCACATTTCTGATGTATTGTCTAGGAGTGGCCTCTGCGTTCAGCACTGCGAGCTCCAACTCTGCGCTCCAACCGCCCTCTCCAGGGAGCGCAGTAGGGCAGGGGCGGCCCATGGGGCCGGCGCACAGGCCAGCGCGGCCGCAGCGCCCGCGCTCAGCACCCGGCCAGCTGCTGCAGCAGCACGCAGAGCCAACACCACGTCACCACCAGCCTTCGGTTGTTTTACTTTGCTGTTGTCTTTTAAAAAAGAAAAAATAGAAGCCACCTCTAGGAATATTATTTTCTTATACTGGAAACACCATATGGAGAACAGCTCTGTCACTGTTCCTCAGCGGATGGCCTCCAATCAGTTGGAAACTGTATTTCTTTTCCTCCTTTCTTTCTTTTCCAAGCCCCAGAATCTAGGATGTACCCTCAAAGGTCACAAGGCAGTAAAAGAAAGTTGCATGGAAAACCAATCCATCTGTATAATGAACAACGCCATAAATCATCCCTTAGCCCGCTCCATCGATTCAAAAGGCAAGGAATTGTGCACTTAGCAAGCTATGGAGAGCCAGGTAGTACTTCAGTTCCCAGGAAAGCCCATTAAATTCTGCTAATTAAATTTCTTTTCCCTGACTGGTGGAGGTAACAAGAAAGGTTCCTATACATTGTCCTCCCAGCAAACAATGTAGTGCATATTACATGTTGAACTAATAATATTAAACAATTTGTATGATTAAGGATAGGGAATCTTAAGTAAAAAGAACAACAGGAACATGGCTGCAAGTTCCAAAGTTGTTTCACCCTCAAACTTTTCCCTTCTGGACGCCACAGATACACTACTGACTCTGGCTCTATGCAGATTAGCTGGAAAGCATGATCCCTACACACACACATACACACACACACACAACCCCAAAAAAAAACAACTAAAAAACACACAAAAAATAGGAAAACACTCGCACATTACTGAGGAGGTTGGTGTTTTTAAGACTGCACTGAACAGCAGGTTCCTGTCTGCAAAACCTGGAGTATCCAACTCCAAAACAGGAAAGAAAAGTCATTGCAAGAAATGTCTTTTCACATGGAGTTAGCTCCAAACCTCAGAAGTGCCAAACAACAGTAGTAAGATACACAATGTACCTAAAAATATATAGTAGTGACATTGCCATTCTTTATTACCTGGAAGTGAGTATGGCAAACCACACATGCTTTGAATGGCAATGGGATGCAAACAAAAAGAAAATACGCTACAAGAAAATTTTCTCCTTGATCGATGAAAATTTATTAACAGGCCAAAGGAGTTTCAAAGAACAAGCCCAGAAATTA